TCAGTCCCAAATGAAAACACTCCTAGCTGTTTGAACTTTGTTTTCCCTGTCTGCTTTATGATACTATTTACTGCTTAAATATAAAATTAAGGCAAACACAAATTTCTTCTTTTGTTTAGGACAGACCTCACTTCTTTTTGCTTGGTAAGGACCCTTGATGGAATTCCCATTTTAAAAGATTTACTTAAAAAAAAATGAACTGAAAAATGCTAACAATCCTTTAAGAAATCTGAAATAAAAATGAACTTCATAAAAATAACGCTGTATTTTTTCAAAAATGCAATTGTTTAAATAAAGCATGTACATTTTTCCTTCATTTTCCCCTCCAAAAAATGAATTGAGTTACAAACCTGAGCAATACCAGGTAAATTTGCTAGTGTATTTTTATATAGATATAGAAAATCTCTGCAGCTGAGAGGTTTAATTCACAACTCAGGAAGATTTAGAAGCACTACCTCTGCTCAAACTAACAGGCTAAAAACAGTCCTGTGGCTAGCAGTTTGGGCCAGCTACCTAAGTATGTACCTAGGATCTCAAGTAGGGTTGCACTGGGTGGCTAGCATGCACTAGCATGGCCAGAGTGCTCTGTTAGCTTTTTGGCTGAGTTTGCACTGCAGCTGTGAGGTATAATTTCCATCTTGAGTAAACCTACACCTGCTAACTCTGCTTGAGCTAACATGCTCAAAATAGAAGAGATATCTCATCATGTTTACAAATCTTGAAACAATTATTCTGAGGTCTGAACAGTGCCACTAATTTCAAATGAATAGCTTAGATGCCAATGATACATGAATGATCAACATTGTTAACAATTTCACTCATCAAACTACTGGAGAGATTATCAAAATCTACACCTATTTCCAAAGTGTGCATGGGGAACACGTGCTTGCCAGAGGCAGGCTTAGCACAGAGGAGGATTGGAGATATGAATGGCTATTAGCCAGTATGGGTAAGGAATGGTGTCCCTAGCCTCTGTTTGTCAGAGGGTGGAGATGGATGGCAGGAGAGAGATTGCTTGATCATTACCTGTTCAATTCACTCCCTCTGGGACACCTGGCATTGGCCATTGTCGGCAGACAGGGTACTGGGCTGGATGGATCTTTGGTCTGACCCAGTATGGCCATTCTTATGTTACACACACAAAAATGTGTGTGTAAAATAAAATTCTCAGGCCTTTAAACGTACACCAGAAATACAGCAGAGAGCACAATTGGTGTCATGTTTATGATCGGGAGATGCAACTCAGGAAATGCTGGGATCAGATAGGGTTTAAAACAGAGAGATTCTTCAAGTTCACACAGCACAACAATCCAACACAACCTCTCTATAGCTGTTTCACGTTTAATGCGGAAGCCAGTGAAAAAACTGTTGTTTTATAAGAGTTTAAAAAACTGGTAGGGACCATGAGCAACATTAAAGTGAGCCAATCAATGCAATACAGTTCCAATAAAATGATCATTTTTGTTGTTTTGTTGTTGTTTTAAAATACATTGGTACATAAATGTTGAATATGTAGAGCAGGTGGTGGGCAATAATTTTTGAGGGGGGAGGGGGGGGCCACTCCAAGCTTTTGCAAAGTGGACAAGGGCTGCACTCTTCCATGATATGGATGGAGGAGGAAGGGGGTCTGAAATGTGTTGTAAAGCAGGTTTTTTCTGTCCATGGCCTTTGCGTATAGCCCATCCTGCCACACAAGGCCCCTCACAAGAAACCCAGACTGTACTCAGAGGAGCATGGGAAGCAAGATGCAGTTTTTGTGAATGGAATTTGACCTTACAGGCATCCTGAGACTCAGAGGCATCAAAAAACAGGGAGGTGAGCATGACTAGATAGCGCCTAGCTGCATTTACAGATAAGCCTCATTTGACCGTAGCTTGACCAGTCTTAGAGGCAAGAGAAAAAGAAAACATAAGGTAATAAAACACAACTGTCTCACACTAACCATGCCCCATCTAGTCCTGTCCATGAGGGGATCACGCATACATCACGAAAACTCCTATAGGGCAGTATTGTCATGCTACCTCATCACTAGCCTATCAGGCCCTGCCAAATGCAGACCCTAGCATGGCATTAGACATCAAATTTGTGTGTAAAAGACCCTCAATCCCTTTGTTCGACGGAGGTTCCGTGTATTGAGGGCACGTGTCTTTTTTTTGCCCGGCTAAAGGATTGATCACCCTGAGGCTGCCTCCCCACCTTTTGAGTCAAATATAGGGGTGCACGAGTCCTGAACATGCTCCGAGTTCTAGTGTGTCTTTGTGTTGTTATCGTTGCTGGATTTGTAAGTATTGCTTAAATGTATTAGTTATTGGTTTAATAGTTAAACTGTGTTAATTTCACTGTGTAATTCTGTAAAGTGTATCTAAGTTCTGTTAACCACACTGTGTAAATTGTATAATTTTGTGTTGTATAGTAGTGTTGTATTTAGGTTAAGTATTAGTGTTAGAAACAGAAGCCCCAGAGTTGTTAAGTTGTAAAAGTAGATTTATGACTATGGTTATTTTAGGGCAGCTGGTGGAGTTAGAGGGGCTGGCTTTGGACAGAGTTTTTATTATCATTATATTGGCTTTGTTTTTGTATTTTTCGTTAAGCAAATTAGAGACAGTGATTTGGTATAGTTGAATTGTAATCAAAGAAGTTTGTAATTAGTTAAGTACAGCTAAGTTTAGGGTTTTCTACGCTGTAAAAGCATTGGGCAATTGCTAGTTTAAAAAAACCATTTGCTAATTGTTAGTTTTGATAAAAAAAATCATTCCACTTAATAAAAATCATTTGTTTCACCATCATCCAGTAGTTTTCACTGGATAGTCAGCTTTAACCCTTGAGGCTCCCATCACATCACCGAACCAAAGTGTAACAAAATGGAGGTTGGGTGCAGAGAGGAGCTTGGAGGAGACTAGAGTCTGGGAAGGAGTTTGGGTGAAGAAAGCAGTTGTGATTCAGGGCAGGGGACCGGAGTGCAGAAGTTTGGGATGTGACCTAGGGGACTGTGATCTGGGGCAGGAGATGGGGGTGCCAGATCATGATCATGAGAAATGGCCAGCAGCCTGGGGACTAAGGGGTTAACATACCTAAGCCAGGTAGAGTTGGCCAATAGGAATGTAGGTAGGAATTTCAAACTGGGACAAAGGAATTTTTGGGTTTTCCCTCCTTTGGCTCTAGGGCAGTTTCTCTCCA